CCCTCGTCAGCCGAAGCGGCGGCGGCGCGGTGGCTCCGCCGGCTCCGGAGAGAGTGGTGGTGGAGATGAGAAGAGCGACGTAGTGGCCGGGGTTCATCTTCATGACATAACTCGCAGAGACAGGGATACTGAACTTGTCTTCTTTCCCACTTGGGTGCTGAATCACCACTGATGCTGTGTCCACTGCTTGGCAATTTCCCATCTTTTTTTCTTCCTGGGTTTCAATGGGAACTTTTTTTTTTCTTCTCTTTTGTTGTTTTTGAAAGATTTTGATGTTTTCAATGGAGATTGAGAAGGAGGGCAAAGCAGAAATGTACTGACGATGAGGGTGAACAAAACAGACTCTTGTCTTTCTTTATATGAGAGAGAGAGAGAGAGAGAGAGAGAGAGAGAGAGAGAGAGTTAGTGGGTTCTCTCGGTGACGGTGGAATCAAAATAATTAGAGTCACATTTACATTTCCATTGAAAACAACAAAAGAATAATTACAGTCACACATACATTTCAACTAGAAAATAAAAAATAAAAAAATTAATATTAAATATAGGAAATAGTATACGTTAAGTCTCCCTTTGAATCCGGGATTCAATCATATTATGACTTGGAATTGATGTTTTCATTTCACTCTAACGACATCGTATGGACCCGACATTTTGTATGAAACAACAAATTAAAACTTTTAATCAAAATTTAAATTTTCACAAAATATTGCCATTTTATTAAAAAAAGTGATATGTGTATAAATAAACCAAATTATATCAATTAAACAGTTGTTCTTTTATGGCGGTTTGGTTTATATGTGATGTGAATATAATTACTATATATGATTGCGATAGCTTTGTACAAAATTGAAATAAGTTATATATATAATAAGAAAAGTAAATTTTTTAATGTATGTTTTTTCATAAATATTATTTGTTTAGATTCTTTGGCAGTTTTTATAAGGTTCGATAGTAATGATGTTTTTTTATTAGAATTTGATATTTTAAATGTTAATTATCCATCAAAATCTATATTTTTTTTTGGGGTTATCTTCTTTTAAATAAACAAATAATAGAAAAAAGGTTATATAAAAAAAAATGGTTCACGAGACATGCGTTTCGAACCTCATTATTGTGCGTTTCCATTCCAACCTCATTATTGTTTGGTCCAAAGAGATTCCAATGAGACCGCAAAATCATGAAGACTACGATTTATTTTAATAATTTTGAAACAAAGCTAAATGCTTTTATCACATACTAATATTGATATTTTAATTCTTCCATTCTCCACACTATTTGCTGACCATATCTATATGACTCCATTTTTAATTATATTCAAATCATCCTCAATAAATTTATTTAAAAAAACCGTACTTGTGAAGATATTATAATTCTCTAGATAAAATAGTTCTTTTTTTTTTGGGTAATCAGGTATCATGGACCGAAACCCAAATTAATCTCGGGATCGAAAACAAGACATTTGATTGAAATTACACTCTACTTCCCAACTTGAGACTCGAATTCGGGATGAGATAAAATAGTTTATCTGAATGCTTTTGAAATATACAAATTATTCGTTGTTAGTTGTATAACCAGAATGGACTCCCTATATATATATGTATTAGTTTATCTTAGGGGTAATCGCGTAAAAATACCCGAACTTTTACAAAAATCTCAAATAAATACCCGAACTATAAAATTGTCATATAAATACATGAACTTTTCAAAACTCCCACATAAATACCCAAACTTTTAAATTTTTTCCAAATCAAACAA